AGGGGAGGGGAGGGGAGGGGGGGGGAAGGGGAGGGTTTAGGGTTTAGGGGTTTAGGGTTTAGGGTTGTTGTTTTTTGCTTGACCCCTCTTTTGCGTCCGGGGTTGGAATGCCAATCTGGCTGGTTTGGGTTTTGGGTGTAGGGTTTTGCGCACTTAAAGTTGTGGATCGGCGTTTCAAGGGTTTGGGAGGTTATGACTTTCATTTAATTTGTGTTAAGGGTCTAAGGCTATACCCTACAATTTATGAGACCGAACCTGCTCTTGAAAGAGTTTGGGGCTGCAGCTTGGGAGTGATTTAAGGTGTTGGGGATGAGGTGACTCAGGAGCTATTGGGCTTAACTTCTTTCTTTTGGCTCTCAATTTTGCACATAATAGCATGGGTAACACTCCAAATGAAACTACGGCTTATACTGACCCCTTGGGTTTACATCAACATCAAATTGCAATTCTTCAGGATGCCTTGGGTTCATCTCACAACCACCTACTCATTGATCCCTCAAGTTTAAACTGTGACAAAATAGCAAAAGGTTCCTACGGAATACAAGGACATTTGACACCCTAAATCCCGAACCCTGACATTGAAGGCAGGTTGCAGCCAGAGGAGACAAATGACCCGAAACCCGAAACCCAAACCCTAAGACCTCCCGTAAAGAACTTTAAAGGTCGATGTCGACACCTGACTATGGAACGTTGGGTGTCTTTTTGGAACCCTGGGTGTCTTTATAGAACCCTGGGTGTCTCTTTAGAACCCTGGGTGTCTTTAGCTCCGGAATAGAGGATGGTAAGTTAAAGTTTACTAGGAGGTACGGAGTTGTTAGTCAAGTTCCTAAGCTGGGAAGCATGGAGGCTTGAAGCGCTTACAGCAGGGATTGAGTGAGTTTCTGCAATAGATGTATACTGAAACCCAAGCAGGATATTGGAAATCAGTATCGTAAAATTTTATGGGGATTGCGAAGGAAGATTGTTATTCAGACCCCTTACATTAGTTCCAACTTCCCACCTCTTTCAAGGATCGCGCATCCTCGTCAGTGGTCGGCCTCGGATGCTTTCAAAGGGCTCCGTAGCCTCTCTTAGGCTGTTTTTCAGAACCGCGTCGGTTATGATAAGTATGGGAACAGCGTTTAGGGACTGCTTCAATTCGTCCAGTTCTGCTTTATTAAAAAAATGTGTGCAGAAGCTGGACCTGCATGATGTCGTCTCAACTATAATGCTCTTCAAGATTCAAAACTTACCACTTAAAACTCAGCCTCTAACTTAAAACTCAGCCTCTAACGCTGCTCAAACTACTCATCAACCTTCAAGTGGAAGGAAGGAAACCACACCCCACTGCAGGATCTTGCAAAGTTGGAGTTTTGGGGGGGCGTGAGCCAGCCATGTCGACCTGCTCTGGCGGTGGTGCCGTACCGTTCTCTTGATAAGCCTAAACCCTACACCCAACACCCAAAAACCCAAAACCCAAAAACCCAAAACCCTAAAACCCTAAACCCTAAAACCCTAAAGCCCTAAAACCCTAAACCCTAAACACAAAGCTCGAACCCGTAGAGCCGAAACCCATAACCCGAAACCCACAGTCTCCAACCCTAAAGCCCCATACGCCCATGAAGCCCAAAAAGCCCTGGTGCTACACCGACCGATAACATACCGGTAGCCGCAAATATCTACCTTTTTAAGGTTCCTTATTATGGTTTCTATATATAGTTCCTCAAAAAGTAAGTCTTTTCGGCTACAGCCAGCCCTGATAGAACCCTTACGAAGCCTTAAATCCTGGACCCATGCAGCCCCAAACCCACACCACGCTACTATTTGGGCCATGTGAAGTCCCAAAACCCTTTTCGGTAACATGCCTTTATACACCGTGGCGCGTGGCTCCAAAATGCAAGAAACTTTCACTTCGCTATAGTGATCCTCCTGACCAGTACCACTCAGTGTTTGGGGCTAAAACTGCTACTACTACTCCTACTACACCTCCTACTACTACTACTACTACTGCTACTACTACTTCTACTACTAGAACGACTGATGATGATTCAATGATCTAAAGCCTGCAATATCTTAAGGGCCCTAAACACGGAAAGGAAAGAGGCGTAACCACATTGGGCAACATGCTGTCTTACTTCTTGCGCTTCTTCTTGCCACCGCGTTCGCGTCCCCCCTTCCCGCTCCCGCCGGCCCT